GAGGTAGAAGCACACCACCTCGAAGGCACGGATGAAAGCCAAGGCGTTGGGGTGCAGTTGGGACGGGGCCAAGCACAACCAATCAAAGAGCCCCATATGAAAGGAGGAGAACGGTAACCTGAGCCGAGCCTCTTTGAAGTAGAACTCGTGCATGGGAAACATCCGCCGCCCATATCGCAAGCAGATGCGATGATGCTCCTTCGGGCGGTACACCTGCCAATGTTGCGGCTCCCCGATAGGCGTATCCTCGACGGTGGCATACACGTCGAACGCATCGGCCACGAAACAAGACGGGTAGACAGCGGCTCTTCAGCCACCCATTCTTCGACCGGGGCGATGCGCTCGTCGTCAAAGTCCGGGACCTCGGGTTCGTTGTCTTCGACCATCGTCCCCGGTACCAAGGCCGACATCTACACCTGAAAAGCAGAGGACAACGGTGAATTCGATAGCCAAGATCAAATCCACCCTTCCACCGCAGGTCAAGTGAAAGGGCGACAAAGGCCAGAGAACGGCGAGCAAACAGGCGCTCCCCGCCGATCCTCCTCGGGGCGTCCAAAGCCAACCCACCATCCCTCCGCGGGACGGTCACCGGAAAAAGCGCGCGTCCCCGGGGAATTCATCGGACAAAGCACTCGTCCCCGGGGCATTCATCGGAGAAAGCCCTCGTCCTCGGGACATTCATCGGAACAACCGATTCTCCCCGGAAAATTCACCAGAAAATCGCCAGATACGGCGGATCTTGCGTCCCTCCTCGGGGCATTCATCATGCCCCGACCACACACTCTAATCAAGCGGCGGAAGTAAAAAGAAAAGAGAAAGAAAACTTACTTATGACGGCGGCGAACTGGAGGAAGAACCGAACGGTGCGGCGGCGATCGACGGCAACGGCGGACGGACAAGGATCTCAGAGCGTTGCAGGTAAAACAGCAAAGTGAAAAGTAGAAAAATGAGCGGGGACCCCCATATTTATAACCCGGTGCGGGATTCGAAGCGACGCTAGCCTCATTAATGACATAGGATAGTCGCCCCTACGACCGCTTAACGTGCGACACGTGGCGGCAACCTGACAGTCGCGCCCCTTCATCTGCTTTCACCCCGCTCCGCCGGCGACGGGAGACCCCCGCGCAAGCGCCCGTTCCACCGCGCACAAACCCCGACGAACCTCCCGCTTCGCTATCTCTTCCCCCGACACAGCGACCTTAAGTCCTCGCTCTTTCCTAGAACTTCGACTTGGGGGGCTCCTGTTCCGGTCTGGGCCCGACCTCAATACCGCGCACGGCCCAATAAGCGAATTGGCCACGTCGGGCACGCGCGTCCCGCAGGACGGGCAGAGCACGCCACCGGACACAAGCAGCGCGTCCAACAGCATCTCGTCGTCCCCTCTTATCAGCCGAACAGGGCACACCCCGGTGCATCACAGCGCGGCCTTGGTTCCTCCCCAACCTCGCGAGCTCCCCTCCGCGGGGAGAACAACGTGCCCGGCGCATGTTCTCCACGTACTCCCCTCCGCGGGGACACGTCATCTCCCAACTGCCCCCCTCCGAAAGAGCAAGTCAAACCCACTTTCCAGAGATCACGTGACAGTTGTACTAGGGCGAAGACCACGTTCTGGTCTTCACTACGCCACGTAAGCCCTAGCAGTCATTAGGGTTGGGCCTGGTCATCCAGCCCACCTCAAATGACCGTTGGCCCAGCGCTGGGGTCTCTCTATAAATACACTCTTCCTCAAGAGGGTCAGGTAATTCACTTCTTGCCCAATTTCTGTATTTTGCTCTCGCTCTGCCCAATTCCTTACTTTGGCATCGGAGTGTTTTGCAGGTATACCCCCATTTTTTCTCCTCAGCACCGGTGAGCACGCAGCAGTCCAAGAGAGTGTGGTCAGCCCGTGATCCCCTTCTGATCAGGTCAGATCAACTACATTTTGGAGGTGATACTCATATGAATTCTAAAATTTACATTAATTTATTAATTAGTTTAATAAATTTTGTTAGAGTTGGATGAAATAATATATTGTCGATCTAATCTCTAATTAAATTAACAAAATATAATATGTAATTACTCATGTGAATTATTGTCAGCGAAAAAAATGCACAATTTAGCCGCGTAATTGTATATTCGTGAAAATAAATTTGTGATTATGATAAACTTCTTTCATGTAAATAATTGAATGCCTAAATATGATAATTATTTGATGTGACTTATCATCAATATTTCATTTACATTGTAAATACGGTTTGCAGTTAAATTTTATCATATGAATATTGAAAATTGATGGGTGACATATGATCAATATTGCATTTACATTGTAAACACCGTTTGCAACTAAACTTTATCATCTGAATATTGAAAATTGATGGTAGATTTGATATCTTGTATAGATCTTATTTTATTTGCATATAGTATTATAATGTCTCTACATTTCTATGTCAAATGTGATGAACTTCAAATCTTGGAACCTAAACGAGTTTACATTCTATGTTGAACGTGACGAACTTCAAATCTTGGAACCTATAGAAAGAGGGGTCGAAAAAGCTCACTTAATTACTACTATCTCACAATAAAAGAAATAATAAATTAATGAATTATACATAGTTTAGAAAACAATGTCATATTTACAAAATTTGGAGACTAAATTGGAGTGAAAGAAATACTCTAAAGATTAATTTGATGGTTTATTCCAATTTTAACCGTTACTGGGAAAGGACAAGGTAACTAGAGAGAATCGCAATCGGTTTCCAATTGAGATGGAAAAAAGTAATGTGATTGAACAACAGAAACAAAAATCAATAAATAAAAAATGAATTTCCAACTTACAATTTGGTAGAACATATGCTAACCAAAAAAAAAACATATATTACAAAGGAAGAAACCAAATATCCTTTTAAGAAAATAAGATTGCGGAATTCGTCCATAGTTTGTTCGACCCTTTTGCCCCCGCGTACAGGCGTCTATCTGATCACAGAGCCTACGCGTCCATTCATTTGGCGTACAAAAAAGTAATTTTTTTTTTCAAACCTGTCAACAGTAGTTAAAAAAGCAAAAAATTATTAATTAGATAGTTATGTTGAAATGCGTAGAACCATTGATAATTGACTTGGGTTTGGAATCTATATCATTCATTAGTTTTTGTAGAAAACTACTAAGAATTCTTAAATCCCATCCCCCCAATGCTACAAACTCAATAGCAAATTTGATACAAAGCCAGATTTAACAAATTGATTTGTATATACACGGGACCTAAACCAGATTTGTTTTGATTACTTTTTGGCCCTCGTGAAAACAGATACTAGTATTTTGGAATTCATCTAAAGCTTTGTTTATTTTCTTTCAAAACTTAAGTTTAAATTCTTCAAAATTATGCATCATTAATCAAACGAATCAAATCACTTAAGCTAATATACCAGATTTTATAAGCAGTTGTATTTCTGATGCACCTCTTTAAATTAAGAATTATTCAAATGTGCAAACAGCCAAATAAAACATAGTGAAACTTGGTTGCCAAAAAGACTCGGAGTCTAAAAATATTTCTTCATTAAAGAATGAGACGTCATAGCAAATTCAACATTTATCTCTTTATCATCTGATTCGAGAATTTGAAGGGAGCGTTTGGTGACAGGGTTTAGAGACAGATGGTTTACGCATTCGGAACAGAAGACTGAACAGGACGCAAACATGAGGAGCAATTTCCATTTTACTTGTCAGTTTATTATTGTACAATCTGATACACTCTTATTTTTCAAGTTTTCTAAAACCTATTGAAACTGGCTCTGTTAATTTTCACAGGGAAAGTTTAGTCAATAAGTTTAATAAAATATATATGGTCTGTTAACTTAAGTTGCCCTTTTATATTACACAGCAATAATGAGACTAACGGCATGAATGTTTTAAAAATGTCCTTAAATTTTCGAAGTGCGCTTGGGACTTCAAGTTGGAAAAAATTGCTCAAACATGTTGGAACCTCGTTAGGATTAGATTCACAGTCGCTATAAATTGCAGTCGGCATTATATTTGAGTAAACAATGGTGGCTTAAATATACAAATTTAACCTGAGCAAATTATCTTCAAATAATCTTCAGAAGCACATTTAAGATCCTTACATAGTGGAAATTACACCTCACAGTAAAATAAGTCAAGAGGCTGATTGGATTCCCAACCCTAAAAACTACCTTCCCAAGAGGAAGAAAAAAAGGGGAGATCACAGCCTATAGTTAAAAAAACAATGGGATACAAACAAAACTTAGAGGCAAAACTTACTATCATGCATGAAAAGTAGAGCAGTGTTCAAGACTCTATGCCAAGAGTTTGTCACACACATAATATTGTTATCTATGAGCACATTCAATCAAGATGGTAAACTAGAGCAATAATATAAACAAAGAGAGAATATGACGTATATCAAAAAAGAAAATGAACAGAGCATATGATAAAACTCATCATAATAAATCTAAATCAATCACAAATAAGATGACACTGAATAGAGTAATTGCTACAACTATAGTAGGTTATATCTATGTGAAAACCACAGGGATTGGTACAGAGTTAATGTTTTGAGATTTGAAACTCGGTCAGGTTGATAACAGTTTAACCGAGGAGAGTACTGTAGCAGAATTAGTTTTGGTAAAATTATGTGAAAAGATGCAGACAAGGCACATTGCCCAATTCTCCTCACACAGCTTTGGACAACAACAGTTCCTATCAATCGTACTAGTCTACAAGTGCTTAATTTTTGCTTTAAGGCTCTAAATTCTTACACTCGAGAATTTTATACTACTCAAGTATATGGTTTACATGATGCAGGTTTAGAGCCCGCAAATCATTTACAACAACAGTTGCATCAAGCTATGTAAGCAGAAAGTCACATGTAATACAGTTAAGTGTTTCTGACATAAAAAGAATTTGGGTTTTAAAATAGTCGGCTTAGGTAAGTGAATAACAGGGATGATATATAAAGGATATCACTAGTTTAAAAGAATTAACTATGTTACTTACAGAAAAAATTATCATTGTTGAATTCCTGGCCCATGTTCTCCTTGTGTTTGCTGCTGCTGCTGTATTTGGAGTAGAAGATTGGCAGCAAACTGTAATGTTGACTGGTATCTCTGGTTCTTATCAGCCTCCAAATCTGGGGTGCCTTGACTAACTCCAAAGGCAGGATGTTGCTGAATGGGAGGGTTAGAGTTCATTTGGTCTGCTGTATATTGCATGACAGGTTGATGCTGAGGATTTGTACTGCTAGCTTGACTAGATAAAGCAATAGAATTATTGGGTTGCTGGAAAGGCTGGGGGTTATTATTAGGTTGTTGGAAAGCCTGAGAATTGTATAAAACAGAGGCATCACTTCCCGGCACCATACCAAAGCCTTTCTGAGAGTTGGGGGGAACCTCAGCCTGATACTGATGACTGAAATGGGGGGATGCTGGTACCTGTCCACTTTGACAAGGTGTCACAAGATTCGACATGTGTCTAGATGAAACAACTCCTTGCTGTTGCTGGCTAAGAGCATTGTCTTGAGTATGAGAACTTCCAGAGAGCACTTGAGAAGTGTGACCAGGAACTGATGCTGGCGGATAAGGCTGAAAATGAGCATTGTGATTGTTATACATATTCCTAAACTGCTGAGACGGATGAAGGGATTGATCTGCAATTTGATGATCCTGTTTCCATAATTGAGATTGGTTTCCATCATTAGGTGCCACAGGAGGAAATGGAGGCCTTACAGTCGAGGAGCCTACAGCCGACTTGGCACCATCAGTAGCAGACGACTGCGCATTTGTTGGAAGAAAAGAAGCTAAAGTTGCAATAAGCTCTGGTGTTAATGCGACTCCAGCTCGAGACCCAGAAGCAGTATTTGGAGCATAATCTGGAGCTGCGGATTGAACTGAAGGCCCACCTATAAGTGGATATACTTGCTTAGCAGGAAGCTTAGAATCTTCATGCAACATTCTGTTGTATTCTATTGGCAAAACCTGATCGTCCTTTGCAGGATTCATATCATATTCAGCCTGTGAAGGAGGAAACTGCTGCATATATTGATTTGGCGATGGTGCAGGCATTTGTGAAGAGTGGTGCATGGGCACACCACTTGGTATTGGTGCAAACTTGAGAACAACGCCATATAAACGCTCAGGTCCATTGACTTTCAAAACTTTTGTCAGGAAATCAGAAGGAGGTACCAAGAATAAAGTTGTATTGCCAAATTTAGCAACACCAGCACGATTTTTTGCACCGAGGTAGCGTAAGAATTCAGTGTATGCTGAAAAATCATCTTCGCTATCAGGCAGAAAGAAAACAATTTCAAAGTCAATTGCATCAGCATAGTGCTTTGCGAGTACATCCAATCCCGTCCTAGCTGAGCAATCAACAACTTCCGGACTGCAGTAAAAGGATAAAACAAACTTAAATACAGCCTCCAAACAAGATCCTGAAGACAGGCATACCTTTTGACTGCTGTGGCAAGACAGTTTTAAAGAAAAAGTAAATGGGCCCATTTCTAAAAACTATGGGGCAATTGCTTATATTTGAGAAAACACAGAGCTTGGTTACCTTATTTACCAAAAATAAATAAAGTTATGAATAATCTTTTTTAGGAATTAAAGTAAGGGGCAATAAGAACAGCATTCTTCCTACTGATACAATGTACGAATTTATACTAGAAAAGTTAGCTTGTAGCACAAACAAATAAAATTCATAAAACCTACATATTTCCCTTACAAGTGAAATACCATTTGTTCCGACAGAGTTTTTCAAAGAAACTTATTGGAATTTGGAAGAAAAAGTCCTCTTTCATATTTACCAAATTAAATCAAAGCATAAAAAACTGTCATAATTATACTCACAGCTCTGTCCCTATCCCTTTCCCTATAGGGATGCATCTAGCATGACAAACAGGAGATCCTCCTTTTGCAATAAGCCCACGCCATATATGATCCATATCACCAGGTTGGACAGAAGCATGTACTCCACCTGTTATCCTCGTGCTTCCTGGACCAAGAATACCCCGTCCATGAATGTCAGCATATGGAGCATCATCATTAGGTAATGTACCATCTAGCCTAGACCGCTTTGAATCTCTTGAAATGTTGTTCACGTCAAGTACATCCCAAGCACCAGAGACTGATCTTGCAGGAAGCCTAGAACCAGTTGCAGGAGAAGAAAGCAACCCTGGTGCAGGAGGAGATGGCCTTTTCCAGTTTATCTTATTTGTCAAGCTACTATCCTGAAAATCAGGGCCAGAAACAACAGATCCAGGACCACCTTGAGGACCAAAAGGCCGCATTGGCATGTTTGGACCAACAATACCACCAGTTGGCAAATGTCCAGGAAAATTATTTGGAGCCATAGGACGGTTATGACCGAATAAATCCATTTGTAACGGTCCATATGGATGCTCGTTTAGGTATAAATCAGGTCTTGGGCCATTACTACCAGGATAGAAGCCAGGGAAATCTTTGCCATGTACCTGGTCACCGTTTGAATAATTGATTGTTATGCGAGGATCATTGAAAAGGCGTCCTTGAAGGCCCTCTTTTGCACGTCGGGCTTCATCAACACTTCTAAATTCAACAAATGAATAATGCCTTGAAGGAAAACTCCTAATTCTCTCAATTTCACCAAATAGAATCATGGCATTGTGGAGCATTTGCTCATCAATCTGAACATTGGGAGGATAACCGATCCACAAAATGTTACTGGGTTGACCATCACCCTTCCTCCCTATTTGAGGTTGTGAATTCTGTTGACACGAGAACATTTTTTATAAGTAAAATTAATAAAATTCAAGATGCCAACATAAAGAAAACATCGGCTATTATACAAGTAGGTGCATGCAAGTCTTAACAGTGTATGGTTTTTCAAATGGCAACACATCACATCAAACAAGACAATGACAAATGACAAATAAATGAACAGGACTAATGCATGATTCACATCCAATTAGATGCATATAGCAGCGCATTCTCACCAGTGACCTTTTTTGTCCAGAATAGAAATCAGTATGCCCCAAGCTTTTTCCTTGGAATTGCCCATAATCAAGAAACTGATCCTACAGAAAAATGAAAAGGAAATATTAGACATATGAAAACAGACAAAAGAGTAAAATTACAAGCAGGAACAGATAAATGTTATGCAACCCTCTCGGTCAGTAGAATAGTCACAATAGTGAGACAATATGATAGGTTACAAATAAGAGGGAGGGAAGACCGGAGAAGCTTGTCTTCAGTGCTGGCATAGAAATTAGGGAGGGAAAGTTCCAGGTCTCTCCAATGCCCGGGTGTAATAAAGGTTTCTCTCAATGAACATCATTTTTATCTATATTCCAGTATAAGCTATTTTCAAAGAAACAAACCCCAGTACCCTAATTGAAATTATAGATCCTACCATGAGACATTAGGATGTGTGTACGACAATAAGTAACTAATTAACATAAAGGAAGTTGAAGAACAAGACATACTTTTTTTGTAGAATTTGAACGGAGGAAGTCAACACGAATATTTTCCCCACCAATACGTTTTCCATTCATGATTTTCATTGCCTGAATAGCATCATCCAGATTGAAAAATTCAACACATGCAGTATTTTTGTCTCTGAGGAACTTGTATTCCTCAATTTTACCAAATTTACGAAAGTCAGCTTCTAAGTCTTCCTTTGTAACAGCTTGGCTAATGCCACCCACCCAAAGCTGTTTACATGGCTTTGCCTGGAAATAACAGCATATTTGGTTAAACATTCAGATATTTCTAAAAAGAAACAAACAAGTTACAATCAAAACAATAAGTTACTACTGAAGGAACATTGTAAATTAGCTTCAAGATATTCAAAGGCACCCATCACTTCTTAAAACAGTCAAATTGTTGAAAAGAAATTCATATCCTGAGGTGGCCAAGAATAAATAAATAAAAATGGGTAGAAAAGGGACATTGTGGCATCATTGATCCAGATGGTCAACTCCACCTAGTGCAAAAAGGCTATACATACATAGTTAAGGAAATTATTTTTTGTGATGGCTACATTTATGGAAAAGAATTGAAATATATAAGGTCCAGTTCTAGCACAAAGTACTGTCCCTGCAGAGATTTGAAAAATAATAGAATAGAACTAGGGTTGGGAGAGACAATAATGCAGAATGGAACAGAATAGCACAAAGGACTGTCCCTGCAGAGATTCTAGCACAGTGTACCGTCCCTGCAGAGATTCTAGCACAGTGTACCGTCCCTGCAGAGATTAAAATGTCTAAAACCAACATTCTGTTGGGAGAGAGAGTTGGCAACTTGACTCTCTCTCAAGAGAAGAACTAAGGTTAATTGATTCCTGGAGTCACTCATTTGAAAGGTAGTACAGCTGCCCTGGTAAAAAAAATCAGATGTCTTACTGCCGATTTGAGGATTAGTTCCACAGTAATACATTGAAGATCTGTTGGAAGTCAAAGATCCTAATTACATTAGATTCATATAATTTAAAAAAAAAAAAAAAAAAAAAAAACTTACAATCTAAACTTTTTTTGTTGCCAAAACTGAAAACAATCAGACAACAACCTTGAGAACTAAGATCCCTTGTGTGTATGACTGACTGTCCAGTACTATTTCTACTAAAACTTCTACAATAATATTAATATAAAGTTGAGTTTTATTTTACTGGTTATCTGATAATACTATATAACGTATTTCCAGCTTCACCAATAAATCCCATAAATTAAATTGAAGTCCTTAGGAAATTTAAAGCACCTTCTACTCAAAAATATTTAATAGAACAGCAGGACTTTAAAAAGAAAACGGTGCTTGTTATAATTAGATGCCAATTTGCTAATTAGATTGGGTATTACTGTATATGAGCACAGTTCATGATACTTAAGCTTGATTGTTGTTCATGGACCAATACCATCAGTGTTATTTTTATTTGTGTTTTACTTTCTTTACGTTCAACGTGTAGCATTTAAGGGAATAAGATTGTTTTGACGGTAGGAATTTTTTGTATTTGCCCAATAACGCATGATCTCTGGAAATTAGTCTGGCACGTGTAAAAAGATAAAATGTTGAAACCAGCTGTAGTTAGACGGGAAAATGTAGCAAATATAGATAATTGAAAACTAAAAGTTGGTTTCGTAACCTTCACGTCAGATTAAATGTGTGCTTTTCTAATTAAGCCTAATTTACAGCAATTTCAGACCCAAAATGCATCCTTGCAGATGCTCTGAATTATGTTCTCTAAATCTACAACTTTCTATTAAAAAATACACAAGTTTTTTTTAATTGGTTTTGCCCAAAGTTGAAACCGGCGGGAGATATTTTTGGCAAATTAAATTGATTAGTGTTAGGGTGAAAAGGGAAAAACAAGGCTAGTTAATTCGCCGTTAAACACTGTTTGTAGTTGTTTAATGTTTATGCTAATAATAATTTACATCCACTTCACTTATTTCTGTATTTATGTGAAATTTGCAGTGTTCAAATACTATTCCCGTAAAGAATTACAGCGTTAGATATTTTGAATTGTCAAGATTCATAAACAAAATGTTCAAATGACAGGGTTTTGAATTCTGCTCTACAAATGGTTACAGCTTTCAACGTGATGACAAGTTTTATCACAATGACAAATTCAGCTCTTCGAAAGGTTACAACTTTCGATGCAATGACAATTTTCATCGTAATGATTCTGCTCTACAATGGTTACAACTTTCAATGCAACTCTACAATGGTTACAACTTTCAATGCAACACTAACGGTTACAACCTTTAATGCAATGATCGCTTGATTTTATTGATTTCTAACAGCAGTTAGAGCAGATGTTTGAAAGCATAACTAAAAACCAAGTATAATGTCGTGAATTCATCAGAATTCATCAGTTACACTTACACGAAATGCTTAAAACTTCGGGTGGAGTAAGTTTTCATCTTCTTAAACATTTTACATCTTCGTTTGAAGAAACAGCACAATTTCGGGCTTTAATAAACCAATCACAAAACAAGCTTTCAAAATCCCTTTTCCCTTTTAGATGTGAGGGATATATAATATATAAATATCTATATATTTATACTAATTTTATATCCATAATTATAATTAAACAATAGAATAAGATTTAGATTGCTAAATTACCACCGATTAGGCCAACAAACTTTACCAATCCGAATTTCATAATCAAACAATCGCACCTAAATTGAAAAGTTCTTCGATATTATAATTGTTCCTTCAATTTTATTTTTGCATATGAACATGAATTTGAGTCTGAAATTGTATCAAGTAAAAATGAGAAAGGCGTGCCCTATTAGATCTAAATCCATTCATGATTAACGAACTGACATTGAAACATACCCTAATTTTTTGGCGCAAAACGTGATTCTCAAAGTTTCATCGTTGAATTTGACGTGTATCGAGAAAAATACGAAAATGGAAAAAACTATGGATTCGGTTTGAGCACTGAGAGTGCACGCCGAGCAATTACGCAGGCAACGATGAAAATTGACGGAAAAAATAAAAGAAAACACTGAATGCAATATCGTAAAACGAATAATCGAATTGTCGAGGAAAAAACAAGAAGATTAGATTAGAATAAACATTAATAATACATGAATCCGAAGGGAAAGTGAAATTTAAGAGAGCGCAAAAGTGAGAACGAACCGGTCTAGCAAACTCAATTTTCAATGAATTGCCACGAAAATGGAAGCCTTGAAGCGCGTTTTTAGCGGCTTTTGCATCTTCAACGCGTTTGAAGAACACGAAAGCATAACTGCGAGCGGAATAAGAGGTGACGCTATCGAGTGCGCCGTATTGAGCGAAAAGGTTCATCAGATCGGAATCGGAAACGTCAGACGCTAGATTTCCAACCCATAGGTTATTGGAAGGAGTCGACGATTCCTCGGAGTCTCTGCCGGTTTCATGTAGTGGCTTCATTGATTTCGTCGGAAGCGGCATTGCGATTGGAAGGCCCTAGAAGAAGCGTGCCTCTACGAACGTGACCGGATTTCGAGAAATTGGGGATGAAATTTTTGAGCGGGGAAGAAACCCTAAAAGTGAAAATGAATGTTTCGGGAGAAAATGGACTTTGGATTAGGATTGAGGTTAAAATAAATATATGCAAGCTTTTCTTCCTTCGTTGGTTCTTTTATTTACCGGTTCATTAATTTTTTATTTAAATTAAAAAGAATTAAATATATTTTTAGTTTCTATAAATATAGCACCTTTTAAGTTTTCTTCTGTCTTCTTTAAATTTTAGTTTTTATAAAGTTTTTTGTCTCGTAATATGGTCTCTCCAGTTAGTTTTCACGAAAGAAAGCTTATGTGGCATGCCACATGTAATTGTAACTTTTATTACGTGTGATGTGTTTTGTTTCAATTCGTCAGCGTGGAAAATGTAGATAAAAAAATTAGGTTATCCTTAGTTAAGTCAAATTTAGTGGTTTGCCCTGGCAGAAGGTGCGCAATGTTGTGGTCCCAAAGCGACATCTTTGGAGTGGTCCCAACAAGAAGTTCCTGAGAAGGCGAACAAATGGTCCCCAAGTAAGATGCAATTGTCTCCTTTATATTCTCTCATTTGAATATCATATGTTTTGCTTTCTCAGTCCTCCCTTTCCTTATTCAATTTGTTATTTTGTTGTATATTAAGTTTGTTCGTCTATTGTAGAAAAAATTAGGGTAAATCATTTTTACATTGTAATGGTAAAATTTAAATGTAGGTTAAATGTTGTGTACAGGAAATGGATAGTTTGAGGGTTGTTTTTTACTTAAAGGGTAGTTTTGTAAAATACCCTAATATACGATATGATGAAGGGGATGCTTATGTTTTTAATGGTCAAGACCTTGGCTATTGGTCTTTCTTTGAAGCATGTGACCTAATTAAGTTGATTGAACCTGAGTTTGATATAGTTAGTGTTAAGATGTAGTGGAAACATGAAGAAGGATCATTTGAACACGACTTAAAACCTTTTAAGGATAATGGTGATGCCTCTGAGGTAGCCATGTATGCTATAGGAAATAAGTCTGATGTTGAGATATTTTGTGAGCCCAAAGTTGTAGGAGAGGATACCTTTATAGATAGGTTTAGAGAAAGGGGAAAGGGAATCAAATGTGATGAAGATGTTGACAGGTTGGTTAAAGAAAGTGATGATTATAGTGACGAATTTGTTAGAGGATTTCACTTTGATGATAGTGAGAAGGAGAGGAAGAAAGAGTTTGATGAAGGCCTTGATGAAGTGTTTGATAATGGAGTTAAAGTATAACAAAATGACAGAGTTGATGCAAATGAAGAAGGCACTGCTCATGTAGATGTTAGCTCCTAAATTCGACGTCTCTTGCAAAATAGAGGAATTTAAGAAAAAGTGCCAAAAACAGGTTGAAAGCAAAGGTTGGTCGAAAGGCGTGAGGCAGCTGAAGAAAGGAGTCGAAGAACTCACTAGGATTGAAGAGAAACCACAAGGGCTTCGACCGTTTTGTTGTTTGGTGATTTATTGAAGATTTGAAATTCAAAAATTTGGAGGGAACAATTTTGTTTGCCAAATGCCTAGGAGGACACATGGCACCTTATGAGCAGTAGATCCATGCATTGTGACAAGTGGCGAAAGGTGGTGATGTTGGAAGTTATTAGTAGTTATTTTTTTACTATTATAAATAGGGTGTCTTAGACATGAGATAGGAGTGGTAATTTACCATTGTACAAATTACTCTTAGAATTACTCCAAGTATCCGAGCGTAGAGAAAGCGAGTATTACAGAGAATGTACGTGATGTAAACACACCATCTTTTATCTTAATGAAATTTACTTTACTTGCTTTAAACTTTACAAAGTCTTTTTATTTTCTTTGCACCCCTCTTCCTTATTTTCTTTCTTTCTTCTTTTTCTATGCAATTCATTTCTCTTCGTCCTTAATCTAATCTTTCCTCTCCAAACAAACTTCTTTCTCTTCTTTATTGAAAGTTTTATCTTTTAACTTGTCCCGTAGTCGAACAGATGTTTCTTTAGATTCTTTTACCCCATTATTGCCTAAGTGTGAAACTTAGATAGATTTCCAAAGAAAAACCTTTTTAGCACATGTCCTAGGATCAATCGGATCGATCCTGTGAGTCACCAAAGTTAGATTTGGAAGATCAGCGGTTGTTTTTTGATTTCTAAGGGAAACAAAATGGCACGCCCAGTGGGACAGTGCTAAAAAATCTTTTTGTGCAAAACTAAGTTTACAGAAAATTGCAGTCTTGTTGGTACTTTCGTGAGAAGTGCATTTTATGTTACTGAGAAGTGGTAGAATTACCGATGTAAACGAAGAAAGACGGACAAGACAAAACATTAGGAACATGGCTACGGATACGAACTAGCCAGATAACCCCAGCCGTCAAGGAGACGGTTCTAGTGAAGGAATAAGAGACGATGTAGTTCCCCTTTCGATACTGTCGACCGGAGAACAAACGGTGCTTCCTGTGAGGCCAGTACCGACACCCTCCGTACTTGGGGCTGGGTCGATGGTGATAAGACCTTATAGTTAACCAGTGTTGGAATATATTGGGCTTCCAACGTCGAATCCTCAGATACTGTTAGGGGGAAGTTCGACTTCCAGACAGTTTGCTCCCCCTGGGTTTTCACAGTCACCAAGAAATCCCCCATATGGGATGCCCACCACTGTAATGTAAGGGATCCAAAGTGCGCCCCCCATATTCTCAGATCATGCAATGGCTTCGCCATTACAAGGGTCAGGGTCGGGTGTGAACATGGGTCGAAATCCCCAAAGCCAGAGCTTAGGGTATTCGACGCAAGGCCCCAACTTGACCAACACCTCAGTTGCCTGTTTGAGACAGCAGATGGATGAAAGTAATTTGCAAATGGTTCAGACCTTGTCACAAACCATGGGTGAAATCTTTCAACCATTAATCCAGAATACAACCCAGACCAATCAACAATTGGCGGTACAACTGACAAGATTGGCTGAATTCATGGGGGTACCCCCCTTAGCCAGAAATCAGGCTCTAATAGCGGACATCCCATGAGAAAATTTGGGAAATATGGCAGAAACCGATATAGGAAACCAAGGAAGGATGGGTCCTCCTGCAGTCGAAGCGCTTAGGGAAGAACCATTACGAAATCAGGCCCGTGTTCTGGGAGAAAGAGACCCAATAGTGGTTATCATGAATCGAAACTAGGACGCTGACTGTAACAGCCCGAATTTCATTAAATAATTAATTATAGTAATTAATTGATTTAGTGGGATTTTTATTAATGTTGGAAATTAATTTTTATTAATTGGAATTAATAGAGAATTGAGAAGGAAATTGGAAGGAAGGAAAATAAAAGAAATATATAATAGAGAAGGAAAAGAAAAGAAAGTTGGAGAGAAACATTTGGAAAGAAAGAAGAAGAGAAAGAGAGGAGAAGAAGAGGAAAGTGGAAAATCATCAAGAACCAACATCAAAGCTCCGATTAATCGAGGTAAGGGTGAGAAATGTTTCTATTTGATCATTGCATGATGTTATATATGTTGGGTTGGGGTTTTGGTGTAGTTTCCATCCTTTTTCATTTAGGGCAAAAGTTGGAATAATCGGTAGAACTGTGATTTAATCGGTTGGAAATGAGTAATAATACCGTAGAATAGTCGGGTAACATGTATTGATGTTGTTTGAGCTGGTTTTGATGTTTGGGAGTTGGTTGGTGGTGGGTTTGAGAAGGAGAAGACAGAACAAAATTCTGTTTTGCGCATGTTCGCTGGCTCTCGCCGGGCGAAGCCTAGCGCACGCTGGCGAATAATTATGATTAAGTCCCAGTGGACTTCACTGGCGAGTTCGCCAGGCGAAGGTTGGTTAGCGAATGTTCGCCCAGCGAAAGTGCTGGCGAATGGTGGCGAACAAAGTCAGTAGCTATTGACTTTGGCTCGCTGGGGAGTCTCGCCAGGCGAAGGCCTAGCGAGTGTTCGCTGAGAGGGTTCGCCAGGCGAAGGTCCAGCGAAGGTTCGCTGCGAGGCCTCGCCAGGCGAATATGGGCGAATTTGACAGCATCTTTTCTTTGTTGTGGTTTCTATGTGTTGACGATTTAGTTGTTTCACATAGACTAATACCTCTACATTTTTAGTATGTATGTGATCTATTGTGATGATATGTGTTGTGGGTAGCCTACGGGCGTGAATCCTAGAATTGTGATTTGAATGTTAATTGCATCAAGTATAAATACATGTGAACATAATAGGTGATTATGTGTGTATTATTTAATGAACTTGTGAATGCTTGATGTGTATACAATTATGTGATGAGTATGCATGAGAACATTGTGAATATGTGTGCATAACTTGTAATTGTATGATTGGTATTGTGATGTGAATACCTTGATTGTTGTGATATATGTTGTATGTGAAATCATTGTGTAATTCTTGAAGAGATGAATTATTAAATGCATGAGATTAAGATGCGATAACGGTCTTAAGTGCATTGTTGTGGTTGATTGCATATGCATCATTTAGTCAAGAGACAATGTCTGTTAGTTTCGTGGAAACTAGTGGCTTGTCCCAAACCTATAAGAGTGGGTTTGAAGGCTTAGAGGACGAGCCTTTGTTGTTATCGGTCTAGAAGAGTGGACCCAGTTTAATGTAAAAACCGAAAAATGATAACGGGTTATCGGTCTAGAAGAGTGGACCCGGTTTAATGTAAAAACCAAAAAATGATAACGAAAGTCGGTACCGCATTGCATGAGTTGCATTGAGTTGTTGAGTCACATTGATATATCACATATGCATGAAGAGATGCTTATGTGTGAATGATAAGATTGTGGAAATGTGAGTGTATGCATGATGTGGGAATGCTTTGTGAATATTCATGTTGTCTATATATGTGTGGTAAATATATATGACTAAGAGGGTGAATTGTGGTGAGAAATATGGAGTTGAATTATATGATATATATATATATATATATATATATATATATATATATATATATATATA